TCTTCTTAAAACACTTTTCTGCACTTGGCCTCCAGATACTGTGCTCTCCTAGTTTTCCTCCTATTCCTTCTTGGCCTCCTTTGCTATTTTTTCCACACCTCTTTGAATTCTAAATGGTAGAATACTACAGTGACCACTTCTTTTTTTCTGTCTTCACTCATTCACTGCAGGTGATCCCATCCAGACTCATAGCTTTTAATACCATCTGCACACTGGTGACTTCCAGACTTATTTTTCTGGCCTAGACCTTTCCCCTGAAACTCTAACCTCATATATCCACCTCCTAATCAGTATCTTCACTTGGATGTTTAATACATACTCAAAATTAGTATGTTCCAAACCGAGTTCTCTATCTTCCCCTACCAAGCCTACTTCTCCTAGAGTCTTCCTCCTCTCAGTTAATGGCAATCCCATTTTCCTAGTTGCTCAGTCAAAACCCTTGATTCCTGTCATTCTCTCGTACCCATCTAAACTGTTCAATTATTAGATCAGCTCTATCCAAAAACACCATCAAAATCTGTCCAAGATCCTGCTACTTCTTACCACTTCTACTGCTATTACTGTGAGGGTTTTCCTGGCCACCCTTCCTGGTCTCTCATCTGGAATGTTGCAATGGTCTTCTCATTGGCTGGTTCTTCCCCTTGCTCTCTGGTAGTTTACTTCCCATAGATCAAATGATCCCAGTAAATTATAAATCATGTCATATCTCAACTCTTTGCAAAACCTTCCAGTAGCTTCTTATATCAGAGTAAAAGCTAAACTGTTCATAAGGCCTACAAGGTTATGTAGAAGTACCTCTCAATCTCTCTGATGTAAAAAAGCAATTTTGTTTTAATTTAGAGTTTGAGGTGGACCAATACTTTACAAAAGTATGATAAAAATGAGCTACTACAGAGAGCACTTCCACACTGGTCATGGTGAAGTAACTGGAATCAGATTAGATTTCTAACTACAAACTACTAGAAAACTGGCCTGAATACAAGAAACAACTATTTTCAGAAATTAGACAATAAGTCGTGAAGGACTGACTCCTGAGGGAAGGGAAGCAAATGTACAGAACAGAAGCAGAGCAAGGCTGTATTGAGATAAGGAGATAAGGAGACAGAAGTTGGAGTTTGGGGAGGCTGGAATTTCCCAGGCAGAATACTGGAAAGGAAGAAGCTGCAGAAAAAGAGCTCCATGAATCTGCATTGAGGTTCCTTTGAGTCTTTGAGGCTGAAAGTCAAGCTGTATTTGCATAGAATAAGACTTAATGAGACCAGGCAAAGAACAACTACCTGGGAAAGAACAACTCCTGGGGATCTGAAAATGCACCAACTACCTGAGCTCACACAGATATTTGAGTTCCAACCAACCAGAGTAGAGAGACATCATTGAACACTTGGGACATTCAGTAAAGGCCCCAGAAAGACCACACCTTAGGAGCAGGTAAAAATGGCCCTATGTAAAGGTTACTCTAGATCTGTGCTAATGAAGCTTAAACGCAAGCCTCAAAAGGATTGAGCTGGTCCACAAGTCAATTAACTGACTGCCAGATTCTTTAGAGGAAGGCACAAGATTCAGACATTTAATAACATAAATTCACCACTTCCATTATCCAGTAGAGATTTGGAAGACATAGGAAGAAGCAGGAAGTATGACCTGTAACCAGGAGAAAACTTAGTATAAACAGAGCCAGAAATGGCAGACATGATGCAATTAGCAGACATGGACTTTAAAATAGTCATGATAAAAATCAAGAATATAAAGGAGAAAAGATTAACATAATGAAGAGAGAAATGGAGTAAATAAAAGAACCAGATGTAAATGTAATTAGAACTTTCTGCATACACATTCTACTTCAATAAAAATGTTTAAATAAAAAAGATGGAACTCCTAGAGTGAAGGGACGATACCTGAAATGAAAAAATTCAATTGTTGGTATAGAGTGAGGGCTGGGTCTGGAGCTCACAGACCCCTCAAGCCCATTGTCCAGACTGGGTCACAAACCCTTCACATGCAGGTCCATGCTAGGTAATTGGGAAAGATTCCGGGAGCTGTTGGCAGATGACACGAGCTCAGTCTTCAGCTTCCTCAGCAGCAGCAGCAGCTTACAGGCCTGGGAGCTTATAGATCCGGCAGTGGCAGTGGCCTTGTGGAGGGTCCTGGGAGCACTAGCAGCAGCAGCCTCCAGAAGCAGTAGTAGTAGTAGTAGTGGCTCCCCATGCCCCCGCCCCCTGCTCCAGGGCATTCCAGGGGGGGGGCGCTGTGGATGAGAGCCACTCATCCTTTATACTTAAGTCCATAACCCAGGACACCTGGGTGCACATGTGCAATTACACTAGAGATAACCAAAGAACACCTGGGCACGTGTGCCTGTTTATATCAAATGCTTGACAAGATTCTGAACATCAGAGGGGCCATGACCATTTTCCTATATTTTCCCAACAGCTGGACTTAACAGTAGAACAGAAATTGCAGAAGAACAGTTCACTGAACTGAAAAAACATAGCAATATAAACTATCCAAAATGAAGCACAGAGAAAAGGATGGCTGAAAAATGAACAGAGCCTCAGTAACTGTGGGACGATGTCAAGCAGTCTAACAGAAGGGGCAAAAATATTTAAGGAAATAGTTTTCCCCAAATTTCCAAATAAATTTTTACATATTTGATAAGAACTATAAACCTACAAATACAAGAAGCCCAGCAAAGTGTAAGAAGGATAAACAGAGAAGATGATATCAAGCACATCAGAATCAAATTGCTGAAAACCACTGATAAAGAGAACATATTGAAAGCATCTAGAGAAAAAAAGACATGTAACATACAAGGAAACAAAGATAAGAATTACCAATGATTTATCATTAAAACAATGCAAGCCAGAAGAAGAAAGAATGGCACCATGGCTCTGAAAGGACTTATTTATTTTTCTTCTAAAATATACAGATTTTCTAGCTTTATCCACTGAAAAGACCTAGAAGCAGTGACAACCTAGGAACAGTGAACATCCTAGTGACCCGATTGTGGTCTCTACTCTTTCCCAGTAAAGGGAACCAAGCATCCTTGAATAATGGTTGATTCCAAGTCTGAATTTTGTTAAATAATGGGAAATATCAACCATTAGTTGATATTAGAAAATACTAAAATCATTAGGTGAAAAGTTGATGGGGACTTTATAGTGGAGACATGTTGACCAATAAAATCTGAATCTGCTGTAAATCAATATTTACATTCCATTTTATTATGTGCCTCCTTTTTGATTTATAAGTTCACCCAATTACCTATAACAGATTTTTGCCACTTCTCAAAAACAAAATATAGGCAGTCCCTGACATATGATGGTTTGACTTAATGATCTTTTGGAGTTTATGATGGTGCAAAAGCCATCAGTATTCAATAGAAACCATACTTTGAGTACCCATACAACCATTCCTTTTTTAACTTTCAATATGGTATTCAATAAATTACGTGAGATATTCAATATTTTATTACAAAATAGGCTTTGTGTTAGATGATTTTGCCTAACTGTAGTCTAATGTAAGTGTTCTGAATACATTTAAGGTAGGCTAGGTTAAGCTATGATATTTAGTAGGTTAGGTGTAGTAAATGCATTTTTCAACTTACAATATTTTCAACTTACGATGGGTTTATCTGCATGTAACCCAAGTTGCAGAGCCTCTGTAAAAGCAAAAACTTTAATCAAGCATGTAGATATAACCACAGAGGATAGAGAAGCAAATTAAATGACACCACAGGAAATCAGTCAAATCCCAGTATATGATATTCTACAAGATAACCTGATTTTTTCATAAATAAATGACATGAGCAAAACAGGGAAAAGGGGGAACTGTTATGGATCAAAAACAAATGTATCTATCAAATAGAAACCTGAAAGAATCATATCAACCAAATGCAAAGTGGACCTTGTTTAGATCTTTATTTTAACTGTAAAAGGACATTTTTTAAGATTTGAGGAAATTTTCAGATGGGTTGGAAATTAAGATGTTTTTGTCAGTTTTTTTAGGTGTGATAATGGGGTTGAGGTGATGTGAAATGTTTTCACTATCTAACAGATATTGCCAGGTTAATAATTGCCACCCTTCCCTGAACAAAAATTGGGGGATGGAAGAATGGATTAAACAAAATTGGCAAAATGTTGATATTTGTGATGGGTATATCAGGGGTAGTCATTAGATTACTCTATTTTGTGCATTTTAACATTTCTATAGTTAAAAGTTAAAAAAAAAAAAGACCACGTACTTAAAGACCTTCCATATATCTCAAAGACAGAGCCTCACTCAGAATGTATACAGTGTTGTCTTACAATTGGATAAAATTCTAATGAGTTTGGTTCAAATACCAGTTTTATGGGAGAAAAGACCACGTACTTAAAGACCTTCCATATATCTCAAAGACAGAGCCTCACTCAGAATGTATACAGTATTGTCTTACAATTGGATAAAATTCTAATGAGTTTGGTTCAAATACCAGTTTTATGGGAGAAAATAAGCTGATGCTAAAGGCATTATTTCCTTATAGAAAGAAAAATATTTAACTGGTAGTATGAGCTAACACTGAAAAATTATTAAATGTAGACAAAAGCTGTAAAACCAGAGCATTAGGGGTTCCCTTAGTAATATTACATGGATCCACTTTGCTTCACTAGTCCTGCCGGAGGGCATTCCCTAAAAACCACAGCCATCACAGAGCCCAGAACCTGGACAAAACTGGTGGGCAAGGTTCCTGTGGTGACTCCTCAAGAAGTCCTCCTAAGGACTATATCGTAGCAGATGGCCAAAACCACTCCTCAAGGACTGCTTTTTTCCAAAGGATTTGTGTGATGGATTCTTGATGGTCTAACGCCATGTTCCATTATGCATTGTGGTTTTTATTGTTTTCTTTATCATGATTTATTATTTTTTCCGTTTTTCTTTGAAGTTTGCCCATTTTAATCCGTGTTCATTTCTCCCTCTGTGTGTGTCTATGTCGCACTTGCTGTCTTTGCCTCCCTCGTTCCTAGGTTACAGTATGGCCGGGAGGCACCCAATCACCTGGCCGATGAGCATGCGCTGATAGCCTCCTATGTGGCCCGTCTGCAGCGCTGTGCACGGTCAGTGGGAGAGCAGCCCAGGCGGGACCAGGGGCTGCTCAGGGGGAGGGAGAGCTTTGCTACCCGGGGCTGCCAGCAGGAGAAAGCTCTAAGCTATGCGTGTGGGGTTTTTCTTGAGCAGCTACCAGCTCTGTTTGGCAGAGTTAAAATAACTGCTAAAGCATTAGCTTCTACAGAGAAGGAAGCCTTGCCAAGCCCAGGCGCTCACTTACCTAAAGATAGAGTCAGAAATCCTCCTTTAGAGGGGGGCTTACTTCCTTCAGATTATACTTAGAGTAGATAAACCTCTGAGAAATTTACAATTGCAGAGATGTGACATTCACAGAGGTATTTGATGCATCTTCTTCCTGTTCATTCTTGCCTAAATAATGAAATCTTTCTATTGACATTCAGAGTTTAGGGTTGATCACCCCACAGATACCTCACTTTGTTTCATCTGGGGGCTTCAATACCATCACTCTGTAACATCTTTCCTGTCCTTTATCTATTGACAGAAATCTGTCATTGTTGATTTTTTAAACCAGTGATTCCCAGAAGTGGTATTGGATCATTGTCACCTGAGGTGCTTTTTCCAGACTCTATATACCTCCTCATGTTATAATAATTACATACATTATAATAGCTTTACATACCCCTTATCCTGAAAACTACTATGGTAGTGACTCAGTGTTAATATGGGAATGTGATTGATTCCTCAGTGGGTTGGGATGTAGAAATGTTTGATAACCGCTAACTGTAGCAAAGTTAACCCTTTTTAAAAATAGGTAATACCAAACAAAGTGCTATTACATTCAGGCAGACCCAAAGCCTCCTGCCCACTCCATGCCCACACCCACCACCATTCTTCAAGGAGGATGACAGGTAAAGTTTAAATAATCCAAAGCTGTCCCACCCTTCTACAAGAGTAGTCACACAACAACTTGTAATATCCTGCTTCAAGATTCTTATTCTTAGAGGAAAAAACCATAATTTATAAACTGTGCACATAACAGAGGATAGAGCCTTGAATTTTGATCTTAGTTTTGCCCATAGCATGCCAAGGCTCTTTAGAAAGGTCATCGGACCTCACTGCTACTCCTCATGATAACAGAAGAATAAATTAAATAATCAATGGGAAACAAATATATACTTAAAAAACTATTTTTAAGATTACACTTCATACCATTTCCCATAGTTTTCATAGTATGACTAAACAGCATCACTATTTGGGGGCATTTACCTATCACTAAAGCCTTAGAGAAACTAGGGTTTTCCAACCCCCCAAATATGTTGAATAGGCTTATCCTATAGATGGAGAGGAAGGGTCTGGTAATGTACATAGTATCACAAAGAGTGTCTCCTCATCCCTTCTGTGCACTCTGTCCCAGCCTCTTGGGCTCTAGGAATAAAGGTGTTTCACGCTAGGCAGGACAAATTACTTATTATCAGTAAGGGTAATTGTCCAGGGTAAATGAAAGTTTCCATTTATGGAATGTTTGACAGAGACTGTTACCTGGCATTTCAGCCCAAGAAAGTTTATGGTAGGTTTAGCCAAGGTCCTCAAATCTCATTGCTTAGGAACCTAGGGTCCCTGGGCAAGAATTGTGTCCAGTAGCCCTGGGAGAACATGATAAGTGAGTATAGTCTAAGAAACTGAGGCTCATATTTCCTTGAAGCCAAAAATTTCCTGGCTAACTAATTCTGAAAATGAAAGTCAATTCAAACATAAGAGTAAGGAAACTTTCTAATAGTCCTGAAATAATTTTCAGTAATGTTAAAACCTCTCATCAACACAAGATTCTAGTTTCTGGCTACAGAGCCTACCCAATTAAAGCAGACATATCATCAGCACTTGTGTATAAATAACAAATAGGATTAACCTTCCTAGGGAGATGGAATATGGTAGAGAGAAAAAAGGAGCTCTTTTGCACAGAGGAACCTATTGTATCCTTTGCCACATGACGGAGGTCAGCCACTTTAGATCCCACTTCCTAGGCTGCCAGTCCCTCCAAAATATCATGAAAAAAGGAGCTCTTTTGCACAGAGGAACCTATTGTATCCTTTGCCAAATGACGGAGGTCAGCCACTTTAGATCCCACTTCCTAGGCTGCCAGTCCCTCCAAAATATCATCTACTTGTACCGTTCAACATTCATTTTTGTTGTTTTTTTATTTGAAAGTTAAAGATAGTTGTCTTATTTTAGACAAAAACCTTTAAGGCACAAATATTATAGTTCAGCTCTGACCTTGGGGCCTTGACCCTAAAGTATTAAACCCAACTGATGGTAGCATGTTCTTATTACAAGATCATCTTTTGAGAGAATGATTATACATTGTGGAAACTGATATTTGCACATCTAAAATTATAAAGTGTTGACAAATGTCATAGGAAGAAGACTTAAAGCACATTTAAAAAAAAATCCATCCTAGAGAAAAGTCTAAGTAAGTTAAGCTTAAAGAATTAGCCACAGAGATAGAAACTTAGAAAGGTAAAAAAACTCTAGAAAAAATATAGTTGAGGGCCGGCCCGGTGGCGCACTGGATAGTGCGCCGCTTGGGAAGCGCGGCGGCACTCCCGCCCGAGGGTTCGGATCCCACATACAGACCGGTTCCCGCTCACTGGCTGAGCGAGGCGCAGGAGCAACACCGAGGGTTGCAATCCCGTTGCCGGTCCCCGGTCCGGTACAGGGGCAACACTGAGGGTTGCGATCCGTTGCCGGACACGGAAAAAAGACAAAAGACAAAAAAAAAAAAAAAAAAGAAAAAAGAAAGAAAAAATATAGTTGATTCTATACATGAAAAGTTCAGACAGATCTTTGTTAATTTAGCCTCACTCTTCACAGATGCACCTCAATAATTATAACAAGATTTGGTGAGTATTGAATTTGTGTCTTTAAATTTTTACATATTACTTTTCATACTGCTAAATTCTGATCAAGAGTTTTTGGAAAATCCAAGAACCTAGGGCCAAAGTAGAGCAAGACACAGTAGTCTTCACCAGGCAGCACGGCACCATCATCACTGTTGTCTTAAAGTATCTGCCAGTCTTAAACAAAGAGAATTTTATAGCCACAATCCTTATTAATCTAGGACTGCCCTGAGGTGGATAAGTAGCAGTTGACATAATGTACTAAATTAAAGAAGTCACTTCAGAATCAGTCAGAAGTTCCATATCGTCATCAGATATATGCAGAGCCAGCCTACTACTCAAGAACCCTCCTTTCATCCAGGTGCCTTATCATCTGATAGCCCATCTGAGTGTCTTTAAATTTTTAGAGTGCTGGCACTCTTATTAATGGATGAAACTAATTCACTCTAAGATGGGGCTATTGTTGTAGAATGAGCGTAGTAAAGAAGAGAAAGAGACATTAAAAGGGAATGTTTGATACCAGCGAGTCCTCTCCAACTTTATGGTATGTTTGTTCTGCCCTGGCCAGGGTTCCCCACTTTTGCTCAACCAGTGTTAAGGATACTTTTTCTCAGCCCTCTGTTTTTCATGATGCTGTTGGTCTTTTGAATTCCACATCTCGGTCTAAAAAGTCATGAGTTTTTTCTAAAACATTTGTTTAGAAATCCTTGTCTCCGACTTTGTGGGTGCCCTGTCTTTTCTCAGCCCTTGCATTCAAAAGGAAGGGCTCCTCTGATGGTGGGGAGCCTCAGGGATGTGCTACGAAAGAGGAATGACACATGAGGCCTCGTTATTTCTGTAAATCCCCTTATGTCTCAGAAGACCATTAGCATCTATGACCCAGGCCTCCATTTCTTTTGTTACAATTCTTTTTTTACAAGTTTTTCTCTCATCTGTTCTTTCTAAGAATGGAGCAAGAGTAGGGGATGTTTAATAGACACCTGTTGAATTTTTATCTCCTTGGCAGTGTCCTGGACAGTCCTAGCCGACTGGATGAAGAACACCGGCTCATAGCTCGCTATGCTGCCCGGCTGGCTGCAGAGGCAGGAAACATGGTAAGTAAACAGAGGATCCCAGTAGAGTATCAGATATTAGCATTACTTTAATATACAAATGTGAGGGAAATGGTGAACAGAAGGAGGGGAATATATTTAGGGAAGAGATTGAAGGGGCCTTTAATTTTACCTGTAATGGTCTCTTTCTTTGAAAAATGAATCAAGAAGAGAAAATCAAAGATCTAGAATTTAGTTCTTTAAAAAGATCAATAAAATTAATGAACCCCTAGAAATAGTGATCAAGAAAAAAGGAGAGAAAATACAAATTACCAATATCAGAAGTGAAAGAAGGAACATCACTACAGATCCTACAGACATTAAAAGGATGATAAAGAATTTTGTGAACAACTTTTTGCCGATAAATTGACAACCTAGATGAAATAGATTTTTTGAAAGATACAAATTAACAAAACTGACCCAGGAATAAATAGAAAATCAAACTATCCTACATTAAAAAGAAAAAAGAATTCATAATTGACTACCCACCAAAAACATTCCAAGTCCAAATAGCTTAACTGTTAAATGCTATCATATATTTAAGGAAGAAATAATATCAATCCAATGCAAACTTTCAGTAAATAGAGGAGTAAGGAACACTTTCCAAGTCATTTTATCAGACCACTATAACCTGATCCCAAAATACTACAAAGGCATTACAAGAAAAGAAAATTTCTGGCCCGATTTTCTCATGAACATAGATGTAAAAATCCTTACCAAAATATTAGCAAATTGAATCCAACAATATGTAAATGGATAATATTCCATGATCAAGTAAGATTTATCCTAGGAATGCAAATTTATGTACTACATAAAAATGAACCAACGTAATTCACCACATTAACAGTTTAAAGAAGAAAATTATAAGATCATTTCAACAGGTGCAGAAAAAGCATTTGACAAAATACAACATTCATTTATGATAAAACTCCACACGCTAGGAATAGAAGGAAACTTCCTCACCCTAATAAAGAGCACCTACAAAAACCTACAGCTATTATTACACTTAAGACTTAGATTTTGGAACATTTTCCCCCTAATATTGGGAACAAGACAAAGAAGTCCACTTTTACCACCTATATTCAAAATTGTACTGGAGACATGTAGCCAGTGCAACATGACAAGAAGAAAAGGGGGTAAACACTGGGAAGGAAAAAGTAGTCTTTAAAAAGTAGAAAAGATAAGTAAATTTATAGCAATGTTGCAAGATGTAAAGTATATAACAATACACAAATCAACAGTATTTATATCTATTAGCAATGAACAATTAGAAAATGAAATTTAAAAAAAATACCATTTACCATAGTATTAAAAAATATCAAATATTTATGGATAGATGAAATATTAATGAAAGGTGTTCAAGACTGAAAACTATAACAAGATTGCTAAGAGAAATTAGAGAAAAGCTAAATAAATGGAGAGGTATGCCATATTTATGGATTGAAAGATTCAGTATTGTTAAGATGGCAAATTTCCCAAAATTGATCTGTAGATTTAATGCCAATCAAAATCCTAAAAGGCTTTTTTTGTAAAAATTGGAAAACTGATTTAAAAACTTATTTGGAAAACCAAAGGACCTCAAATCACCATAACAGTCTTGAAAAAGAAGAACAAAGGTGGCAGATTTAACCCTGCTTGATGTCAAGACTGACTTTATCAAGAAAGTGATATATTGAAAAATGGATGGATAAATAAATCAAGGGAACAGAAGAAAAGAGCATCTGTAAAGTAGACTCACCTGTCAGATCAAATGACTTTCAACAAAGACACAAAAGCAATTCAATCAGGGAAGGAAAATCTTTTAAACAAATGTTGCTGGGACAACTAGATGTCTGTATGGAGAACCCTCAACCCCTACCTCACACCATACAAGGAAATCAGTTTGAAATGTATCATGAACTTAAACATGAAATCTAAAACCATAAAGCTACTAAAAGAAAGCATTGGAAAATATCTTCATTCTCCTCTGAAGAATAATGAAAGAGTTCTTAGAGTGTTTACAGGAACCTCAAACCATTTTAAAAATTGCTAAATTGGAACTTATTAAATGTAAAATCTTTTGTTCATCAAAAGATATTATTAAGGGCCGGCCCCGTGGCTTATTCGGGAGAGTGCGGCGCTGGTAGCACCAAGGCCGCAGGTTTGGATCCTACATAGGGATGGCCGGTGCGCTCACTGGCTGAGCGTGGTGCAGACAACACCAAGCTAAGGGTTGCAATCCCCTTAACGGTCATAAAAAAAAAAAAAAAATGATATTATTAAGAAATAAATAAAGCACAACCTGAAAGAAAATATTTGAAAAATATGTCTGACAAATGTGCATATAAAATGGTTTTATTGGCAATAAAACCATGGTTTTATTGACTATAAAATAGTTACGTTTAAAATTTCTAAAGACCTAAAAGAAGGAATTAAAAACATAATGAAAGAAAAGACTATCTCAAAAGACCAGAGTTGAACACAAAACAAATAGAACTTACAGATTTTATTTTTATTATTTTTAAATTTTGTAAAGTTTATTGGGAGCCAAATATGAGCATCAATCTGGGAAACACCATCTAAAAGAGTCAGAGAAGTGCTCCCTAGAACTTACAGATTTTAAGAACAAAAGATATTGAAATTTAAAACTCAGTGGATGGGTTAAATGTCAGAGTGGAGAATTAGTGACTGGAAAATACATGTAAGAAAATTTTCCAAAATGCAATACAGAAAATCTGAAACGAGGTTTTCAGACATGGAGGATAGAGAACCATCTAATTGGAATTCCAAAAAAGAAAAGAGAATTAGGGTGAGAAAACATTTGAAGAATTAATGGCTGAGAAATTTCCAAAATTTATTCAGGTCATGAATTCTCAGATCAGAACATCAGAATGAGTCTCAAAATGGGTAAATAAGAATAATTCTACACCTAGACATAATCATAAAGAAACTGCAGAATACAAACACAAGATCCTCGGAAAGCAACCAGAGAAGACTTTGTATTATCTACAAAGAGTTGACAATTAGCTTTCTTCACAGCACCAGTAGAACAATTTCTTCATAAAGGAAATAAAAACCTTACTTAAAAATAAACATCTCCTTACTGGCCAGCCACCAAAAATATGTAAAAATAAAATAAACAAAATATCTGATTACATTCAATGCTGCTGCTGTTTGTAATAAAACTTTAAGAATTTTCCTTATGAAAAAAGATAGTTGAGTATCTTTAATGTACTGAAAGGAACTAGCTAAACTATTAAAAGTAAAAAGAGAAATAAAGACCCTTTCTGACTGAGAAAGAACTGAGAAAGGTTACAGTAAGATTCATACAAAAGAAAAATACTAATGCATATAAATGCTTTGTGTATGTTAGCTGAATTGTTATTCAAAACAATCTTGTGAGGAAACTAAGCCTCAGCGACATAAAGAAATGACCCAGTACATAGTACATAAGTGGTCAGGCTGGGACTGGGATACTATTCTGTCACTCAACTACTGAAATTTAACTACTGAAGGTAGAATTAAACCTAGAAGGAAAGAATGACCTGAAGCCCAAACAACAGACTATGTTAGCATTAACCGGGTAAAAAGAATGGTGTGTGTGCCTAGCGAGTATTTTAGCATATTCTTATTTTTAAATAAAGGCCCTGAGGTTGGAGGTTGCAGGACTGAAAGATAGCTTAGTGGCTAGCACGCAGAGAGCAATACTGGAGAGTGAAAATAGGCAGGACAGGCAGGCTAGCTTAGGCAAGACTGTATTATACAGACCCAGTGTATCAATTTTAGAAATGTGTACCAGTTTGTTTACTTTTTCTTTGGGAATTAGCTGCTGATGAAGGTTCTTTGTTTCTCCCCAATAAAGTAATTTATCCCTTTGGGTTTGGTGGGATTTCAAAATCCTTTTCCTAAAAATTTAATATCAGTTCATGTATCTGACACTAACATTATAACTCTAAATGTTAGTGAAATGGGACAAAATAGAAAAAAAAAGTTTGAGAAGACAGAAAGTGTTATTTAATTAGTTAAACCTTACGCATTCCCTCAGACCCAACTATTCAAGTTATTTTAGAAATTAAAAGTTATAAATAAATTTGTTGAGATGAGACACACTATGATTGAACTTTTTAAATGAAGTATATTTAATGCTATTATATAGTCATGTTGACTTTACGTAGTGCTTTTAAATTATTGTAAATAAAAGCTCCAATGTGATTTGACCCTGAAGAGATCCCAATACTCCTTTATTGCAAACAAGATAAGTCTGTTTATACATGATAGTTTCTGATGCCAATTCTGTAATTCTTGTGAAAATGATCATTGTTAGAATGGTCTTGTTACTGAGTACTGATATGGTGCCTTTCATCTTCAGTTTATTTTGCAAAGTGTAGTTATTTTATAAATATTGGGCTTCTCAAGAAAGATTCTTCTTGACTAGATTTCTGTTAAACAGAAGACTCCTAATCCTCTAATCTCACACTGATACAAGTGCTTTGCATAAAGTGGGTGTAGTGCTCAAAAGAATTTATTTATAGCCTGCCAGATAGGCTTTGTATTGATTTTTTTCAAAGACCTCCTTCCACAAAGAGAGACCATTAAATCATTTGAGCAGCAGGCGGTGCAAGCTGTGGAGTGTTCCAGCATCAGTGCCGTAGCTTCTCCCTCGACGGGGACGTGGCCACGGAAACCTCTTGAGGCTGACCATTGAAGAGAGGCATTTTAGGGTGCTTAAATGAGCCAGGAGAGCACATTTGTTTTCCTGAAGTGCCTAAATTCCTTTAAGAAAAAAAAAAAATGTGGTAGGATCATAGTAGTAACAGTTAATTTGTAAAGTTTCATCACAAACATGACCAGCATTGGATGTAATCAGGTGTTTTGTTTACCTTTAAGGGTTTTTTTTTTTTTCCTTTATGAAAAAAATTAAAAACTCATTGAGGAGGACTCACTGGTTAGAGCACAGTGTTAGAACCCAAGGTCAAGGGTTTTGATCCCTGTACCTGCCAGCTGCCAACAAAACAAAAACAAAA